CCCACAAAAAACTAAAAGTAGAAATAGCATATAACCCAGCAGTTCCACTTCTGGGAATTTACCTCAAGAAAATAAAATCACTGGTTTGCAAAGATATATGCACTCCTTTGTTTATTGCCATATATTTGCAGTAGCCAACATAAGGAAGCAACCAAAGTGTCCACTATACATAAATGGATAAAGTAGTTGTGGTACATATTCACAATGGAATATTATTCGGCCACAAAAAAGAAAGAAATCTTCCCATTTGCAACAATATGAATAGACCTATAGGTTATTATGCTAAGAGAAATAAGCCAGGCAGAGAAAGACAAATACCCTATGATTTTACTTATATGTGGAATCTAAAACAAAACAAATGAACAAAATAACAACAGGCTCATAGACAAGGAGAAGTGACCTGTGGTTACCATGGGGAAAGGGTTGGGGTGGGTGAGTGAAATAGGTGAAGGGGATAAAGAGGCACAAAATCTCAATTATAAAGTAAATTAGTCATAGGGATGAAAGTATAGCATAGAGAATAGAGTAAATAATACTGTAATATTTTTCTATTGACAAATAGTAACTACACTTATTAGGGTGAGCATTTAATAATGTAGATAACTGTTGATTCACTATGTTTTATACTTGAAACCAATATAATATTATATATCAACTATACTTCAATAAAAAGGAAAATGAAATTTGTACATATACATATATATATATAAAAGAAAATCAGTTTAGATGAGAATTGAAATCCAGCATTCAATGATTAAATGTATAGTATAATTAACAGATGGCCTTATATTAGGACAAGAAACACACATACACACAGGTCCTGAGGGGCAAAAAAAAGGTGGAAATCAATCAAGGTCTGGCTTGTGGTAGACTTGGGTTACTCTGAAACAAGGAAATGAAAGTATCTACTGTGAGGAATCTTACTCAGAAATCAGCCACTTTCACAGCACTGGGAAACTTCATGCCTGGATTCCAATACGGTTCAGAGGACACAGACTGAAGTCTCACAGACTGAAGCAAGCACTGTCTCAGTCACTAGCAGAACTCAGTACAGCTTTTTCTAAGACCATTTTGTAGGAGCTGAGGAGCACCAGCTCTACTTTAATTCTAGGCTTCCAGCCTGGCTGGAAATATTTTCTTAGAAGTCACCTCCTTTTTATGGATAAGAAAGGGACAAGAATCAATAACTGGCTGGCTGCTGTATGGTAGATTCCAATATGTGACCCAGATGACAGTATATATTCTTTAAATGGGATGCCTGGGAAACTTTGAAAGAAATATTTGGATCACTTCCCAGAATTATAGACCAACCAGGGCTGGGAGGCATCCTGCTGCAGGAATTAGTGTTTTTCCTTCAGAGATACTAGGTCACCTTCACAACACCTTTCTCGTAAGTAAGGAGCAGCACACAGTTAAGGCAGAGGGGGTTGTGAAAACACAGAATAACTAGTGAATATTTCAGACTGGGAGCATGATAAGGGACCAACACAACAGAAGTGCATAGCCATCCTTGCATAACTACAGTTTGGATTTCTAGGTCAAACTACTTTATTCCAAACACTCAGGCAATGTCCTACTCATCCTGTCCTCAGAATTCTCACCACTGAGCTCCTTTTCAAGGGTCATTCTTAGAATTTTCCCCAGGCCCAAGGACAGCTCATTGTGAAACCTCTGCAACCAGGAGATTGAAAAAGTCAGGAAAACATGGTGAAGTGTTTGGCCAAAAATAAATACAAATTCTTTATTAATGATAATCATAATGTGATCAGTCATACACAGTTGAGTCAGTTGATTCTGGCAAACTTTGTGAAAACGCAAAACCATGAATGACTTTTCTTCTGAACTGATATCTCAGTAGAAATAACAAACTTGAACCATGATGTTGAGACAATATTTAAAAGCAATATTCCAATTTAGAATCTTACAGCTAACAAACTCCCCCAGACCCACGTTAAGTGTAATTCTCCTTCAACCCTACATGGCTCACCAACCCCACCTGCCCTTGAAGATTCTGCATGCCTGGATATAACTTCCCCATTCCACTACGTAGTTACAAGAAAAGGAATTGTACTCATCTTGTTATTTTTCCCTCACCTCTGTCAGATCCCCAGTGCTTTCTTTTATACACCATAGATGTTTAATTAATTTAAAGAAGTAGACAATTTTCCATTATCATAAATAATTTTTAGAAAACTGAATTGGAAAAGAACTGTTAATACTGGATAACATTCTATTTTCCTTTAATTGTAAAAAAGACTGAGCAAACTAAACTGTTAATCAAGGCAGCCACAGGGAGCATAGCTAAATGTGGATGTTACTCAGTTTTTTTCCCAGGAAAGTCTCCCTGCCAGACCTAAGGTTTAGTTGATTACTTCATGTGGTCATGTATTTCAGCCACCAGAGGACCAACTTGTAGTGAGCCTTCCATTTCTATTATTTATGACTGTGTCATTGGGTGGAGGAACTGGCCATTTGCTCTTCATAGTCATTCCCTTCGTCATAGGAGTGTGAAGACCCTACCACTAGCTATTCTTCTACTCAGTGCAGTGTTGTAGAGAGAATATTTTTATCTCTACATTTTCTAGAGATTCTCAGCTTACCAGAAAGAGATTGACTGAGACCTGAGGGTGGATTGAATTTTAAGACAATATTTGGGGCAGATAAGGCAAAGGCATAGGATTTAGTCTTTCTAAATCCTGCTTCTTCTCTTAATACTTTAAAGTTCTCCTTTCTTCATAAGGCTTTTGCTATTACCACCCACACTGATGGATCTCTTCATCTGAGCATCAATGGCACCTGATTATTTCCTGTGTGTTCATCTGAGTTATGAGCTGCGAAATCAGGGAGCAAGTTCAATGCTCCTTCTGCTATTGCCTCTGTTGTCTAGTGTGCTTTAGGCACAAAATAAGTGCTTAGTACCTACTATGGGATTTATGATCACTATTTTAGACTTTCATGAATTTGGTTATGGACATAGCAACTGAGCCTTTAAAATTTTTATTTTTCCAGAATAAATTGATCAGAGAGTCTCTTAGAGAATTTCAGATACTATTGAAATTATTGAACACATTGCAAAACTCCACAGGTCCTCTTTTCAAAGAGATTGTAATGTAGTGGTAAAACTGGGCACAGGCAGGAAAAGCCAAACAAAATTTGTATTTCTCATATAAGGCCTACACTGGGATGCCAATCATTTCTAGTTATTAAATACTCTCTCTTCTTCACCAGCCTGTAACATGTGCATAGTATTAAAGCACTCTGAGAACAGCATTTGAGGTTTTCTTCTCCTCACTGTAGTGCAAGCAGGAGCTTATATGAAGCACAGAAGGAAGAAGAAACAAGAGAAGCATATGTTTGGTGCTACAGCTTCAGAGGAGGATTCCCAGAAGCATTATCACAAATTCAGAAGTCCACTTTCCCCAGTGTCAGCTATAAATGGCACCATGGAACGTGATTTTGTTAATGAAAATTGGAATAATAAACACATTTATAAACTGACATAAACCCAAAACTAATACAGTTTTGATGAACTTGATCACATTAATTTCCTGCTAATGGTGACTTAGTCTACCAAGCATGGAGTCACTATTTTATTCCTACCATCACTGGAATTGTAATCTAAACATACCATCTAGTTTATAACCTCTTATTTTTTATTAAGGTGTCATTGATATACAATCTTATGCTCAGATTTCACATGAGCAACATGTGGTTATACATTCCCCCTATTATTAAGTCCCCACCATATACCCCATTACAGTTACTGTCCATCAGCATAGTAAGCTTTTCTGTGCTGTACTTCCTTCCCTGTGCCCTCCCTATATTATGTGTGCTAATCACAATGCCCTTTAATCCTCTTATCCCTCCTTTTCCACCCACCCTCCCTAGTCCCTTTCCTTTTGGTAACTGTTAGTCCAATCTTAGGTCCTGTGAGTCTGCTGCTGTTTTGTTCCTTCAGTTGTTGCTTTGTTGTTACATTCCACAGGTGAGCCAAGTCATTTCGTACTTGTCTCTCTCCGCCTGGCTTATTTCACTGAGCATAATACCCTCTAGCTCCATCCATGCTGTTGCAAATTATAAGGTCTTATTTTATAGATGAAGAAACTGACTCCCAAGGAGGTTAATTAACTACCCCAATTCACATAGGTAAATGACCTTGCTGTGATAGAAAAAAGGATTGTGTTCATGGATGTGGAAGGGGGGAAAATATTCCTTTCCAAACATTCAAAGATACATTTGGAAAATAGGACACTTTCATTTTTAATATCATCATTTTACAATGCATATCTCTTACAGCACTCTTTCCCTTGTTTCATACTTAACTCTGTATATTGTTTACCTTTCTCTCCAGGTGGTAAGCAGCATGAGGAGCAAACCCCAATCTAAATTAGCTTAAGAGATCTGTACAGACGCAATGGCTCAAACACTTCAGCTAGATAAGAACTTCATGAATGACCAAATGAAGGAATGCTCTTTCAGCTTTCCCTCCAAGACTCAGGAGGAAGACAGATGCCACCCAGAGCGGAGTGGACAAGAATAGAGCAATGTCACAGAGTCAGTCTTCTTATTCACTTTCAGGGCAATTCAAATTATAGTCCCACTCCGAACAGTGCCTGTGAGACACAACTCGGTCGCATATAACTCAGTTGTGCCATTTTCTTTACTTCCATTTAAACAAACCAATCAGATATGGCTAAAACGCTGAGTCTTTTATAGTGTGCATTTTATTCCTTTGGGAGGTCGCTGTACAAACATTTTTTCTTTTAATGGGAAAGGGATTGCCATAGCAACTCAGAGATATAAATGTCGCCTAATTGAATCATGGTGTTGAAGATGATAGTCTGTGTAAAAAGACTGAGTTAAATCTAGGGTGGGTATAAAAGCGGGGCTGAAAGAGGATGATAAAAATATTAAAGCCTCTAATTCCTGGGTTGGATTAACTTTTTGTTGGTAAGACATTTTGTTCCTTTCCAGACGCAGGGCCGCCTAACCGGTAGTAGGAAACGAGTGGGGCTGCACATAGGGTGGGACTGCAGCTTATTTGCAGTAAAACGCTGGTTTTGAATACAGCATTATCCCTCTTCCATGTTGTTCCCTCCCCATCCCGAGGATAAGGACATCTGAGAGAGGTGGGTGATGCTGGAGGCCCAGAATCCTAACTGCAGCAGCCGCTTAGTTTGGTAGGACTGCAAACTCTCCCGCACAGGGGCTCGGCCCTGCCGCCTTTGTAAGCGCGCGGTGTAAATAAAGGTAAAGGGATTTCCGTGTGTAAGAGGCAGGCTCCCGCGTGTTCCACCCACGCCTTCACTCAGGGCTCAACACAGGTTATGTAAAGAACAAGTTACTCGGCGGTGCCCACGTGAAAAGGCGGTGGCCCGACACGTAATACATACCGCACTTCCCAAGCCCCTGCTCTGGGGCGCCCAGCGGACAGCCCCGGCCCCTGTCCCCCGCCTCCTGAAACAGCCCCCGCACCTTCTCGGCCCTCCGCAGCTGGGAACAGGCACCGCTGCCGCCGACCCGAGGCTGCGCGAGCGGCCGGGGCCACACGGCGCGCCTGGGTGACGGCAGCGGGGCTTTGTTTCCACCGGCGAGCGGTGAGTCAACGGCCCCCGCAGCCGCAAAGCCGGCAAACTCTCGGGGCAGGGCAGCTGCAACTTGGCAGCGGGAGCAGCCGCAGCTCTTCCTCCTCTGCCTCCTCCTCCTCTGTCGCCGCCGCCGCGCCGCCCAGGCCCTCCACCTCCTCCCGCGAACTTAGTCAGCGGTTCGCGCCGCCGCGCCCCGATTGGCCGGCGGGACGCGCCGCGTCACAATGGAGCCAGTCGGAGGCGGCGAGCCCGGCAGCGCCGGCGCTTCCCGCTGAGCCCTCCGCAGCCGGCAGACCGGTCAGCGCGGGTGCCGGGCAGCCGCCGGCGCGCCCGGGGGGTGCGGGGCGCACGCTGCGGGGAGAGCGCGCCCCGGGCTGGAGTCGTGGAGGTAGGTGGGAGCGGGACGCCCCTGGCTCCGGGAGCAGCCGCCCAGCCGACTCAAGGGGCGGAGGTGAGCACGGGGTGACGGGACGCAGCAGGTGGGGTTGGTCCGGCAGGTGCGGGTACCTGGCCCCACCTCACCTGCGAGCGGGGCCTGCGGGTTGGTGGCTCGTGCCGAGAGAGGAGTCGTGGCTTCGCTGCTCCTTGTCTTGGGGGGGAAGCAGTGATACGCCTAAGAGGACCACTCCTGGTGCTGGAATCGTTAGGGCTCAGAGGGGGGCGACCGCGAAGAGGCGGTGCCCACCCCGCGCCCGCAGTCAGGGCGCTGCGGGAACAGGGTTCCGGCTTCCCAGACTCGAGCCTCGCCCACCCTGGGCGAGCAGACCTCTCCGGAGGGCGTCCGCGCTGCGCTGCTCTCCTTTGCCCCCCGCCCTGGTGCTGTTTGCTGCCAAACATTTTATGCCCATTGGACGCTCATTGTTCGCCTACAATTTGATCGTGGTGTTGGCATTCGTTTGAGGAAGAAGGGGTCGACCTAGACTCATTTAGAGAGAGAAGCGAAGAGATTTCCCCTTTGGGCTGCATTTTAGCAGGTGCTGAGAGGTCAGAAGGGAGGCGACTCTGTGTTGGCTTATTACTCTTGTGTCCTCATCTGACTTCCCGAAGTCTATAGGTTGCCTTTAGTCAGATGACATTTGTGGAAAACTTTAATTCGTGATGAGAAAGACTCCCTCTCAGCACCCCCATTTCCCCCTCCCAAGAAAAGGACAAATCTGTCTGTACTTAAAAACACCTTTGTGTGAACTTGCTTGAATAAGTTCTCCTTGCCTAAAAACTTTGAAAACTCTGTAAAAAAGATACCAGCATGAGAATTTTAAATTACAAATACGTAGCCAACTTAAAACAGACCATTTGTTCGCTGCTTTCTAAGAGAAAATTAATGGCATCTGTCCTTATCAAACTGTTCTGTCTCCTAAAAGTAAGTGTGGGGTTGAAGCACACAGAAGTCAAATAATGGAGTATAATTATTTAACAATTCCAGTGCCCTAGATGTGTTCAGGTAAACCTCCTGAGAACCCAAAATGCTCTTTGAGTTGGAGGCACCAAGGTGACTTTCATTTTGCCCCCGGCTTTCCTAGTCAGCAGCTCCACTCTTGAAGAGAATACAAAATGACAGCTACTCCCCCAAGTAATTGGGCCTGTGTGATTTAAGCTTGTAAGCCCTAACACATCTGACACTACTCTCAGTTCAGATGATGAAGGGGGCAAAGTTGTCACTGAATGTACCCTGAATGTACACTCTGGCATTTTTCTTATACCTACTGTCCCCTGATGTTTTTATTATAACTAAATAAATATATAATTAAAAATCTCCATGAGAATTAAATTTACTGTTCTTCAAAACTTGTTCTGTTTTTCTTCAGTTAGAAAGGTGTTTCAGCATGTCCAGCCTAACACAAATCATTTTCACATTTGGAATGATTTCACTTGACTAGTTGTTAAGGTTTGCCTTTAAAGATCATTCCCGATGGCTGTTTCATTCTTAAGAATTCTCAGAATGAAAGCACCAACATTAATTAAAATGAAATGAACTAATAAATATAACTTGAAAAGGATAACAGGTCTTCCAATTTTTTTGGTAGTAGAATTCAATTTTTAGAGCAGTTTTAACTTCACAGTAAAATTGAGAGTAAAATGCAGAAATTTCCTATAAACCTCTGGCCACCACTCATGTATAGCCTGCCCCATTCCCAACATCCCCTACCATAGTGGCGCGTTTGTTACAATCCATGAACTTATACTGACACATCATTATAACCCAAAGTCCATAGTATATATTAGCTTCACTCTTGGTAGGGTACATTCTATGGGTTTGGCGAATATATAATGTGTATCCACATGTATTCATCATGTAATATCACATGTAATATCGTCAGAGTATTATTCTATATCATAGTATCACTGTCCTAAAAATCCTCTTTGCACCACCCATTTCATCCCTCTGTCCCCCCAACCCTTGGCAACAATTGATGTTTTTATTTTTACTGTCTCCATAGTTTGCCTTTTCCAGAATGTCATATAGTTGGAATCATATACTCTGTAACCTTTTCAGATTGGCTCTTGCATTGGTAGTATTCATTTGTTTCCTCCATGTCTTTAATTAGCTTTATAACTCATTTCTTTTTAGCTTGGAATAATATTCTGTTATTCCTCCAAGTTTTTTTTAGATTGTGTATTTACCTGCAGTGACTTAAAATTCTGATTTTTTTGTTTTTATTTTAATATTTAGAACATTCTTACCTTTGCCAAAGTTTTTATTTATAAACATATATTTTTTAATTCGAGTCCTTTTTGATGGAACGTGAGTGCTTATATGTTCCTTTTTTATTTTGTGCTGTCCATAAAAATTAGCCTATTTAATCTGATCTCTGATTTAGTGTCTCTCAAGTTGAATTTCCAAATTTTATTTTTGTTTTTCCTTTCCAGCATCTTTCTAACTATACTGATATCAGAAGTGAGTTCATGCTGAATCTGTCATGTTACTCCAGCCTTGGTAGAATGGTTTGCTTTGACTTCTGTAGAGCATGTCCCCACTGCTTTCCTGACTTAGTACAGGTACTCCACAAATAATTCAGGCCAGTGACCACTCAAAAGGAATTTGGGAGGTCCAGTTATAGTGTAGAATTTAACCAACGGTAAAGTGCATTTTAGTTTCTGTCATGTCTGTTTTCATATTGCTGCCTTTTCTTTCATTGCTATTGCCTACTTCATTTCGTTTCTTAACTTCCTATATACTGTTATTATGACTTAGTTTCCTCCAGGGCTTAAAATAATGTTTTTGGCAGATATAGCTTATTTTTCCCTTCTGGATCATTAAGATTGATCTTAAATGAAATTATCACTGCTGTTCGTTTAGAAATTGAACAAACGGTAGTAACAAACCCCCTGCTCTATGACTTCCTCTCATTTAAGATTCTCCTCAATTGCAACAGAATTTAAATGCACTTCTTCAATGCTGCTGTGAACCCATATAAGGAAATGAATAAAAATTGAGTTGTCAGAGCTTCAACATTGACCTTTCCTTTTGCCCTTTTGTCCTTTATGCTGTCTTTGATATGGGTCACATGATTCTGTTTGTCCCTTTCCAGACTGTATCTTTGCACTTCATCTCCTGCTTGTTCAGTTTCAGAGTCCACTGTAGTTCTTTCTTGTCTGTCTCATCCTGTGGTCATTTCCAGGGCTCCACTTTACAATGCCTGTACCTCAGTCAACAGCGCCTTCACAGGCTATCAGTTGCACAGCTTCCATTTCTCTTTTGTTTCCAGTTCCCTGCAGACGACTAAGATCTTCCTCAGCTCATCTCTGATGGAGACTACATTCTTTACTGTCTAGTAGCATATTAATTTTGATCGTTTTTCAGGTATGCAGATTTGAGAACATATTCAAACCTTCCTTCTTCTGTCAAATTCCTTTGCAGCATTTTTATTACTCTCCCCACGCCAAATGTATTGCAGATTATAAGCAGGAATTCTTCAGACTTCTACCTAAGAGTATGAACCCTATACTGTCACTTTGAATAAGTTGTTATATTAAGATTAGCTGCCAGTTACAAAGATCACAAAGAACAATAGCTTAAAGTGGCACTTGTATCTCTTTGACATTTAAAAAAAAAAAGGTTATAGAGAGACAATCCAGGGCTGGTGTTATGGTTTTACAGTCTTCTGATACCTCAGCTGGGTCCACGTTTTAGATCTACCATCAGATAAGGCCCTCAAAGTCATGATCCTAGATGGTTCATGAGCCAACGTGGTTCCAAGTAGTAAAAAGTAGGAAGGAAAGAAGGAAAGAAGATGGGGGAAAGGCAACAGCCCGTGATCTCTTGAGGAAACTTCCTGGAGATTGTCATACATGTCTTGTTACATCTTACCCGCCAGAATTTAGTAATGTGACCTCACCTAGCTGGAATAGAGACTGGGGAATAGCATCCTTATTCTAGACAGGATTCTAATTCAGGAATAATTTAATTACTTTATAATTTATTCATTCTATCCCAGCAACTTAAATACAGATACTTTTTTTGATATGCCAAGCTGATGCATCTGAGAAAGCTGGCTGTAAAGTAGGATCTTTTCAGAGAGGGTCAGAGTGTTGATCTGCATTGCCCTTAGCGAATGGAATTTGAAGGCATTTGGTGGGATGGGGTTCATGTGAAAGACTATTGACAGAAGAATAGGTAGCCCATAAAGGAGCAGAGGAAAATGTCCCCAGAATGGAGGCGTGGGGTGTTCCACAGTTGGCTGGATGCTGTTCCTGGGATGGCCTATCTCAGGGTCAGTGGGCTTGTATAGATAGGAACCCAGCTTGGCACTATGGCAGTGGGATACCATTTCTCCTTGCCCTGTGCAGCTGAGCTAATGGGGGATCCTTTGGGCAAAGGTTGCCTCTCTAATGCCATTGAGAGCTGTGGTGGGTGGCCAGGAAGGCTCTGCTTCCCTGTAGTGTGGTGGGCATGACCGAGCCGCCTGTCAGCCAACTGCAGGTTGTCTCTTGCTCTGAGTGCATTAATTTAGGATGAATTATGTTCATCTAAGGATTTTAAAGTTCATCTCTCTAGACAAAACTAAATGAGTTTGTTCCTGGCTTTTTTTCAATGCCAAAATAGGCAGTCCTCAATTGAGCGATGACTTGTCTTCCCAAAGCGGTTGTGAGTCATGATGCCGTTTCTCAGAGGCACAGTGCTGGGCTTGATGGTCAGGTACCCAGGCTTCCCCGAGAGAGTTCACGCTGTGCCAGCACTGCCTCAGGTGCCACAAGCCTTCCACCCTCACCCTCCCAGGAATGGCTTTGGAGCTGGGACTTGCTCTCACTCCCCACTTTCTCTGGCATTTGGAACTCTGCCCTCGGTGGCACACCAACCTTGTTCCGCCTCATCAGTTTCTCAGTTGCTATTCTCTGCCTGGAATGCTCTTTCCTTATGAATTTGCATGACTGCTTCTTTCTCCTCAATGAAAGATCAGCTCAAATGTGACCTCAGAGTATTTACCATGACCACCTCAGATAAAGGACCCA